AGGGTAACTCGAAAGTGATAGGTATAATATTTAAAAAATATTACTTCTGATTTCTGTCATCGTTTTCAATCAATCAATTCACACCGACTCGCGAAATATTTGAAGAACATCCACGTATGTGGAATTCTCTTTCTGTTACTATTCATTAATGTAAGCTGAAGATCCTCGGAATTTCCTTCGTCCGCTGGACAGTCGTGAATGTCTCTAGAATTGTTGAATCCGTTCTCTTAATGTCCGCTTCTTTTTGCTTAGATTGCCATGATCAGTCCCGGATTGAGCTCTTGCGAGAATTCCTTAAATACTTTGAGATACGCTGATCGAGTGAAGGAACTCGGAGCATCGGATCCTGCTATGTCCGGGTCGACACGAGGAGGAGCTATCGACCTCGAGGACGAAGACGATATGAACGACGATGATGACGACTTGGCGCAATTGCGATCGTTGAATGTAAATATTAATTCCTTTTTTCTATCGTTTCTTTGGTTCCCATTTAATCTTCATTGCTTTATTTCCCCCGAGTTGGATTCGTTTTGTCTCAAGTGTGCCTCGCACTTCAATGATGTCTAGTTGCCTGTTCGGCTAAAATTTTATTTTTCGATTGCCTGAGCGTAATATTTAATAACCAGGAAGTTACTGTGCTGTATTTTGATAGTGCAGTATTTCGTTTTTTATTTATTGGTTATATGAAGGAGAAAGTCCATTTTGATGAGTTTATTTGGATGGTTCAAAAAAGTTACAACTCAGGTAAAATAATAGAAAACTTACTTTTAATCAATTTGAAACTCCCAGAGTTGGAGAGTCCCATTTTGTTACCGTTCAGAAAGAGTGTGCCTTTGCTGGAGGTATCAAGTGGAAATTCAAATCTTAAGTATGAATGCTAGTAACATTTGTCCTCGGTATAACACTGTAATATCAATTTAAAGGACGAAGTGGGAAATTCATTGCGTGAATTACGAATTCCTCGCTACTCAGTGACTTTATAATATTTCGCGAGTCGGTTCAAGATTCCAGTAATGCCCGTAACCGGTATTAGTCATCGAGGTCATCAGCGTTAGTCAATTGAAATTTGCTCGATGACTTTTTTTTTAACGTAGTAAAGTAATATCAGAAGATCGTACATATGAGCTAAAATCGAAAGATTTTGGATTCAACGAATCAACCTTTTCTTCGAAACAGGAGATGAACCGAGTAGGTGCATCCCAGCATACATTTTACCCCGCGAATATGTCCCACGCGCGATTGTCTCGGGGTGCTCGTAAAGTCGGCGGAAGGCAGGATGCTTTGCTTTACGTGCGGAAAAGACACATTGCAAGTTGAATTCAGTGTTTTTTCATGCTGCCTGAAATTTCTTTCTCTCTTGTTTTTTCCCCCCTTTTTTTTCTCCTGCTTTGCCACCATTTCAGGAGCAGGAGTTGAGTGATGATCTGTTTCATCATCAATCCGCCATCACGCATCTACAAACGATCGAGGATGAGGTTCTTGATGCCCACAGGTAAATAATGGATACATAGTGTACGTTTTGCGTATTCTTCAAGTTTTTAATAATTTTAGGCGTATTCTTTTCTGAACTTCACGTTCAACGCCGTTTTCGAAACGATTGTGATTCTGGTTCTTAGATCGTTCGTATAATTTATGAAGTTCGTCCATAAATCCATTTACAAATGTTATGATTTTGTCCTTGAACAATTGTGCATTTCGAAGTGTGGTAGGATGTGACTGGATGTGTAAATTAAATCATGATACTAGACAGCTCTTCAAGTTCTGTACGTCTTTCTTTGTGGGCGTGACGATCTGGCGTCGGTTCATTATGGAAGTTGTAGATGATCATAAGGACGCATTTTTTGCATGCTTCCTGTTCTGGGCATTCTTTTCAAGCTGTCTTGGCTCATGAGACTTATTAGCATTTTTTGAAACACCGATTCCAATTCTTTGTCCTGCTAGAGCTTCACGCAAGATCTGAAAAACACTAGCAAGTCTGTGTAGTAAATTTTTGGGCGTTTGATATCGCAGGTTTTGAATTGAGAACTGTTTCTGGTCGGACATCCTGACTCCCGCTTACATTCCGCACGTTTACATTTGAATTTTAAAATTTTCGTGTGATTTTCAGATCTGCGGTTGAAGAAAATGATCGCTGGACCGCAGTGGACAAGTCCCTGTTGAAAATGACGGATGAAGTGGATTACGATGTTGATGGTGAGCACCTCGGTTTTTTGTGGCTTTTTCCAAAGGAAAAAATATGGATGATCTTTAAATTCTATGTTTGTATTTCGCAGCGTATGCTCAACAATTGGAAGACCTTCTGGCAGAGCGGATTGATTTCTACAACACCATGAAAATCAAGGTGACTCAGTTTCGACGGCAGCTAGCGGAGGAAGAGAAAATATCTCGCAATTTCAACAACAAGAAATGATGAGCCGATCCTACCTTGACTGGATTTTCTTTCGTTTCAATTTGTTTTTCTTTCAATTCTTGAGTTGCTTGTGGTCGCGATTTCTCTTTCAGTCCATCATTTTGATCTGGCTTCGACTTTCTATTCTTAGTCCCGTGGCATTTTTTTTTCTTGGTTTTTTTTTTTTTTTTTTTTTTTTTATTTTAGGTGGTGGTCCGTGGCATTTTTTTTTCTTGGTTTTTTTTTTTTTTTTTTTGAATTGAATTGAAGGCGATGGTGATGGGGAAGAATTGTAATTGGTTCCACGGCTTTCGAGTTTGAAATCCTTTTTCCCAGGATTTCGATATGGGTGATACGATTTTTCTGAAGCAGTGCGGAAGAGCGAGATGAGATTTTTGGCGCTTCGGTCGCATCGCTTCTTTTTTCTCTTCTGTGAATATGCATCACATGGTCGTATTTCTGACGCTCCGAAGTGGTTTGATCACGTGTAAACATGGTGTGAATGAGTGCTTCACCTACTCGCTTTTTTGTAATTTTGATTTTTTAATGCTCGCAAAATTGTGATTTCCAGCTGAGAGAAGGTTTTTTTTTTCCTGTTCGTGTTGGTCAGCGACGGATAAATTGATCAAATGGCTTGTTTTTTTTCGGATTGCGTTTTGGGAAAATCTTTTCATTTGCAGGCGAAAAAATTCCTGTCGACTAGGCTACGTGTTTCTTTTTTTTTTATCCACTTCCTGGCGTGTTCAGCGTATTTCACTGTTCTGAAACAAAGAAGCTGTACGAACTCGCAAGAAATTGGTCTCCTTTCTTTCGTTCGAACAAGTTGAGGTAGTTGAGATTTTTCATCCGCCAAGATATCTGCGTATCACGTCTTTCGTAATCTGGTTTTAATTTAGTTTTGTTCCTTGATAGATAATTTGACGTTCTGCTGCGGGGCGCGGCATTGGCACATCACTGAAATGTTGCGATTTTTCGTCTTTATATAGAAACGTGACAGCTCGTGATTTTCGAAATGCTGAATGCCGCAAGAATTATGTCTCCTCATGTAGATGTCGCTCGTACGAAACCAGAGATCCTCGTTCACAAATCTCTGTTGTCCTCGCTGTAATACTGTACTGTACTGAATTATCATCGCGGAACTTTTTCCTCATCAGTGTTGATTCCGAACTTGTTTTTTGCCTAGAAAGAAAAATCAGTTACTAATAACCTTTGCGAACATCGAGCATATGCGATGTGCCCATTTTGATGGGAAGGTTTCGTAAGTGGACCAGAAATCCAGAATCATTTCTAGCTCTTGTCCGAAGCTTTTAACTAATTACGGCGGCTCTGTTCTCAACATTATCAGATGGTCTCAGAGCCTGTTAGTCTTACACCGTGGTGTTATCATAAATTAATTCTGCTATAAATTTAGGGGAAAATAAGGTCTAGCAGCAGCAGAGGAGAATCGCTAAAAGTGCGCAAACCCACGAACGGCATATGTTCATATAAGTAGCAGGTGGTTTCTGCACGACCATCGTGAAGTGTGACGTGACGTACGAGAGCGAGCGGTACTTCATCCCTTAATGAACGATCCTGTCAAGATTTCAAATCCGCGATCCTGTCTCTTCTTAAACCAATTCCGCATATTATAAGCATGCTGTCGATAGTTTCTTGTGCATTTAATGGCTGACACAAATCGCAATGTATAAAATAGCACATCAGGGTGAGAAGGAATTACTATATACAGAACTTGTTGAAGAAAAATGCGCGTGGACCGATCTTCAGCATTTTCGTATCAAAGAAGAGGTTCAGCTCATATTTGTCAGCACTTGCATTCTGTTCTGCTTATATGAAAGCTCAGAAGTTTTAATAAACCTGTGCAGTGAATTTTGTTATGTTATGACCATGATTAATTAATTTTATGCAGGTCATGCATAAATATAATGTATATGTCATTTGTCAATGTCAACATACTGTACCCAATTTTACAAAAGCACAGCCTGCATGCATCGCACCATGCAAAGAACATCTTATTACCATCAACAATTTCTTCAAATGCAGAATTGTTCGAATCCAATTTGAATTCGATATTTAAATGGAATAGACGTAATAAATAATTATATTAAAAACAGAAGAGAACTTTTCCTTTTTATATTATTAGCTATTTGGTGTTGAGCACAGCAAATAAGATATAGATGGCCAGTAAAAAATTCGAGTTAGGGTAGCTCTGAATTAAGAAAATAATCATTTTTGTTTTTTTGGGGGGGGGGGGGGAGAGAATGATTGCAGGAAATTGTATAATTGGTGTTATATTTTAGACCATAAACTGCAGAATAAATGAGTTGACAAGATTGTAGGCCGGAGTTAAGTTGTCCATGCATGCAATTCATATTGTATTTCACTTCCTTATTTAGAAACGCATTAGCTGCTGGTTTCAATTTTATTGCATTTCTCTTTCCTGTTTAAATAAAACAAAATACCAAAAGACCTCCAGAAAAATCGAATTATGGATGTTTAAGGAAAAAGCCTTCAAGTTAGGGAAGTTTTTAATTAATTTGTTCCTATAAGAGACTTGACCCAGGATTTGAAAGAATTCGACATTTTTAAGGAGTATTTGACTTAGTGAGGTTTGATTTATCAAGGTTCAAAGTGCATATCAAGTGTCCAGGCTGTTCACAAATTTGACACGACGTGGCGAATAATAATGCTAATTTATTTGAAGCAGCATACCTATATACCGTATATATATAGTGATCAACAGTTTGGCACAGACGGTTTTGATAGCACTGATGAAAAACCTTCGATATGCAAGTGGTTTTCCGTGCTGCTATCTCGCACGTCAGCACTATATATTCTGTATATGCGTATCACTTCGGGAGTCGGGAAGCATAGTACATTCAATCAATCGCATCTCACATATAATGTATACAGTATATACCGTCATTGTTTTACAGCAAGTAATTGGCCTGAAATGAATAGAGTATTGCCACGAATTCATTGGCAATAATAAGTGCTAGGATAAACCAGAAGCCCGTGTGGATGAAGACTATACATAATGGAGGATATCATGCAACTTAACTGGATTGGTTTCCGCCGCGCATTAGGGAGCAAAATTCGCGAGAATTGCGCGCAGTTCGGATATCTCTCAACCCACTGATGAAGTGATGAATCCCACGCGCTGCTGCCCACACAACGGACTGACAGCAGGCTGTGCGAATTGTCAGAGATTATTCTCTTCACCAGCTGCTGAATGCTGAGAACAACGGATATCTCCGATTTTTCAGGATCTGCTGATTTTTATTTTTTTATGCTTTCTTATTTTATTTTTTTCTCTGCCACAAACCATAGTTGCAGTGGAATTAGATCAACAGGGGATGGAGAAAAGAGAGTGGAAGTAAAAGACAGAAAACCACTTTCTGCTACCAATTTATGTTGAGGACAGATGTCGCCTCAATATAAGTTAGTCTGTTAGTGTAAAGCTGGATCAAGAGAATAAAAGACAATAATGAGCCCGGAACAGGGGGCAGAATTCCTTCTGAGAATTACTGGGTCAGGAATAAGGATATATTTCACAAGATTAATCAACTACTCAGAAAACTCTTGCTTCAACTGAATAACTGGATAATCTGATGATTATATTCTACTCTGGGATTGACTAGCTTAACAATTAATATTTAACCTTCACAAGGCCTTATAAACCCTTCATAAGGTTTGTCATTCAATTTTAAAATAGCGGATAAAACTCTAGAAGATATTAAGCAAATTACATCATTAATTCTGTGCTTGCCTTACAGATGCCTCATCATTGTAAATGAATATATGAGTTCCTCCAGCAGCTTCCTTTTTCCGCAGGGTTTAAATTCTGTTCAACATTTTCAATGAGCTTTGAAATTAACCGTTATTTCTAAAAAAAAACTTTAATTACGTAAATTGCGACGTAAAGTTATGTACAGTACAATACTATAGCGTAGATTTTAGTCAGTATAAAAATCTTGACATTCTCATCCATTGCAAATATAAGTCTTTTTTTTAAAGTATCAATGAATAGCAGTTTCTTCATTTTTCTGGGCTTCGAATTCGTTCAACATTTTCAACTTGTTTTATAGTTTATCGCAATTTCTTTCTTGAATCAAAATTTTGAAAATCGCGGCTTAAAGTTGAATACCAGCATTTGTATAGATTTTAGTCAAAAAAGATCTTCACATTCTTATTGATAAAAAGTAAAAGAGTTTGCATATACAGAAGAATCCCTTTTCTGCACGATGCATGTGTACTGTGTATGATTCTTTGCCATTTCTGAAGCTTTTGCTTTTTTATAATGAGCATCCAAATTTGTGATGAGACGTCTGAAAAAATTTATTTCGTAAAATATATAGAAGCACAGCAATTTCCAGATCTTATATTTTTTATGCTCCATTTCTGTTCTTCTAGATTTTTAGAAAATTTTCAAGCAGTCTTATGAATTTATTGATTGTATGATGACTACAAAATGGAACTTCGTTCGCACTGAGCGCCGATGAATCGTACATGAATAAACTGAAACGAAGTTTTTTTGTAAGAACTTACCTTGGATCACAATAAGATGAATACTACAGCAGAAGGATCAGAAATCAATCGCAGTTGTATTTCCTGAAGTATATGCCAGGCGTGAAGTTTAGAGAAAGCAAGCTTGGAGCTTATTTATTTTTTGTTGTTGTTGGAAGGAATGCATTTTTTTGTCTTTGGGATGATTTTCATTTCCATTACAATGGGCATGCTTCAATCAAAATATGCTTTATTGCTTCCCCAAGACACGAATGAAGACATACTTCAGTAAACTTTGTCGCAAAATACAGATTTTCGAGCCACTTCACAGAAAACCCTTCACATTCTGAAATTTAAATCTCTTTACATTGAGATCTACTGATTCTTACGGAACATTTTCAATGCCATATGAAAATTATCGAACACTGAAATTTCCAGACCATCAACTTTGCTGATGGCTATTTATAGAAACATTTAAAAGTGCAAAAATGTACAGTATTCATAAGAAAAGCTGAGGAATGAACATCGATGAAAATCAAAATTACTCTGTCGTATTTTTATAGATCAAATATTATAGAAGGCAAAATAAATATTGTATAAATATGTAGGAACAGCAACGTCGACAGTACGTTTGTCAGAAAAATATCAAGCTACAATATTTACTTTTTAGCAGTGTGATTCATAGCACTATGATTAATGTTTATATAATGCGTACCGTGTGCAGAAATCCTCCTTTTCCGCGAGATTTTTTTTTGCCGAAAAAATCATTTCGCGAAACAAACGGGTAATTTTGAAATAATTTCCGTCCACATGCATACGACTGCTGCTGATTGAAAAATGAAAATCCCACCGAAAGCAATCATCAGCATTCCTCCTCAAAGCCATTCACAAAGATGAAGGGGTTTCAAGCATTCCCAGGGAATTCGCGGGAATTCTAAATTTAACCCTCGTCTGTGCTGTGCGAGTAGAAGTCAGTTGGGTGCTAATTGCCGACTATTCAAATTCGCCTCTCGACGTCTAATTCGCTTCATTTCGCTCGTTTTTCCTCATTCGCTTCACCCATCAAAGCCCATGTTTTTCAGCACTTGATTAAATCTAATTCAGATGCTTTTCCCGCGCGTGTGTCGGCTGATGACGACGACGACGCTTCTGACGGATGTAAAATGATTTTCCTCTCCGTTTCCTCTACCACAAACTCCTGGATTTTCTTCGCCCACTGTTTCATTTTGCACCGACGTCAGCAGCACCAACTGCGCAGTAAAACCCGAGGAACTTCATTTCTTCCTTCTTAT